GAAGGCCTTTGCGACGTCCAGGAAGACAGCACCAGTGTACTGTCCCCTGTTGAAGGCCGCCGTGATGTGCTCGGTAAGGCGAAGGATTTGGAGGAGTCCGACCGTTTACCATTCACTCAACACAGTCTAAATTTCTAATTAATAAATTTATTGTAACTTTAGCCCACAGTAAGATAAACTCAAGGATATAAAAAATTGAAAATAGTATTTTTAATTCACGTATATGTATTTGTTGCAGTTATTATTTAATTTTGTAAGTGAACATGGTTCTTTTACTGCACAGAATGAATTCATTTTAAATTAGTGAACGCGTCCTATTACCGTTTTTTTTTTAAGGTTGGACAACCTACCGGATTTACTTACACGTCTTTCATTTGTGGTCGTGATACGGAACTGCCATTATTATCGTGCCATTATTTTAAGAATATGGCTTCAGGTTAGTTTAGGTTTACTTAATCATTTTGATTTGATTGACTCATTGATTTATTAATAGATTAATATAAACATATATGCACAAGGTTGATATTTCCTAAATTTGATTTACCGTGCTAATATTTAATTTGCGTTGAAATAAACGAACCTCACTCTAACCGCGTGTCCACGGCATTTCTACGAAAATTGTGTTTTTTAGGTAAAAAGGGAAAGAAAACGAAGGGTAAAACCTTGGCCTTAACCGATTTTTTACAAGAAACCATTGGAACTATACCTGCCCAACCTATACGCAAATCAAATATTAATTGGGCCGAAGAAGTAGAAGATTATGGTAATGTTGCTATGAATTTAATATATTTTTTTAACTAACACTAATAAGTTGAACCATTTTTTTTTTTTTAATTTTTATTATTAATTTAAGTAACAATGTAGTGATTCGAAGTTAATTGGTAATCATTAGCTGTGTTTTAAATTGATATGTAAACTAAACGAATATTTTAAAACATAACATGCTCTATATACCAACCAATATATAAAAATGTCATTTATATTCTCTCTTTTTTTGAGTTCAAGGATATCAAGTTGTAATATAAAAGTATGTACCTTTTATTTGCCACAAGTACTTTTCCTTTACTATTTAAAAAGATAAATTGTACAAAAAATAGGAAATGCCCCTTGTTACAGTGTTGTCTATTATCTTTTTTATTTTAAATGCTGTACTTTAAAAAAAAACAATTTCATTGTCAATAGCAATGAAAGAAATAATTCTACTTGCTTATTTGACTTCAAAATATTTAGGTAACTATGAAAAACAAAGTGATCTCCAAGAAAATCATAAACATGCTTTTTCTCTAAATTAATTGAAAAAACTACTGTAACATGATGAAATTTTGGCAAAAAACTGGGTCATGGTCTGCAACAATCCTGCACCTGGAGCACACAAACAATGCACTTGTTGCACAAAAACTGCAACGGGAAGGTCTGAGGCAGGCAACTACCCCCTAGCTGGGGGCTCGCATATTGCGAGACAAGGGAACCAGAAATATGTCAACGAAGCATCAAAGCCAAGGATTACTTACGTATAGGTGATATGCCTAGTTGGTTGGAAGCCCTTGTTGCCAGCATTTTGAGTGTAATTTGCAGGCTGGAAAATTTCTTCCAGAACTCAATTCAGACTAATCTGTTACAGACCAAACTTCCAATTGCCAATTCTGATAATTTCACGTCTGTTTAATATTTCTCTGTTTCTGTTTGGCAATTTTTTTGACAATTTGCTTTTTTAAGATGGATATGACTCTAGGAAGCCAATTAATGTTGTCCTTCCTACTGCTCCGAAGGCTTCAAGGGATTTCGAAGATTTCAGTGATAAAGTGCCCAAAGAGCCCCCATACAGAGCTTACCTCTCAAATTTACCATATGATGTGGATGAGGAAGAAATTATGTTGTTTTTTAAAAATATGAGGGTGAGTGAATAAGAAACATTTAATATGGCTACATAATGCTGTCTTTAGGAAATATAAATTAGATTTCATTTCTGAAATTTCAGATTTTTAAAAAAATTTATAGTAAAAATTTTGTATCCTGTGCACAAGGGCGTCGCCAGCCTAGGGGAGGGCAAGATAAGAGAGAGGATGGGAGAAATCATAGGTAGAAATAAGTACAGGGAATTAATTTTATTAGAAATATTTTTAATAAAACCTTTTTAATACAATAAAAACATAAAAAAATATATAAATAACTAAAAAAAAAATTAAGAAATTCAACGAAAATTAGGTAAAACATAATCTCGGATTTTTTGAAAATTTATCGACCACTTTATTAATGTAATCTTCATGGTTATCAAAAATAAGAGCTTTCTGTATATACTCATCATTGCTAGGCTATTGAGACTATTTTGTATCGTAATATTTCTCATCCAGCTTTTTATTCTTCTTAAGCTGCTAAACGATCGCTTTACAGTACCTGTTGTGAATGGTAGAGCAATTAAAATTTAAAATATTTTCTTAGCTTAAGAAAATTTTTGTACTTTTTCGAATTTCTAGGGCGAGGGGCAGCCTTGGCGACGCCCTTGCCCGTGCATGAAACACTGTTAATGAATATGTAAATTATTTATTATAATTAAATTAAATTTGATTTAAATAGTACTTATTTTAAAATAATAGTATTGGTTGCTGATATATACAAGGAAATAATAAATAATTACCTTATTATTTTAAATCATTTTAGGACTAATGCATAAAATGAAATAATTTGCACATTAGCATTTAAAATAAACTGTCTTTAAATCAGTATTTTTTTATAGTAAAAATAAAAAGTAGTTTCTTTTTTCCACTCACGGGACTGTTCTCACTTGGGCAAATTCTACTTTACAAAATTATTCTATAAATGGCTATGAAATGAACTATACCAAGCAAACTGCTTTAATTTTTTTAAGGATACATACTACAAAACATTAACAGCATTTTTTATTTATTTTTGCTCTCAGTTGCACTGAGAATATTTCTTATCCTTTTTTGTTCAAAATTGCCCATTATCTATTACTTGCATCGTCATAGATACAGGCTTTAGCAAGGTCCTGGATCAAAATTTGTGGATATAAAGGTGATTCATGAATTTTTACTGAAACATAGCTATAGCTTTGTAGAAATTAGTTTGTACAGGGTGTTAGTAAATAAGTGCGACAAATTTCAGGGGGTGATTCTACATGAGAAAATAATGGCAGTTTGCTTATTAAACGTATGTCCGCAAATGATTCGTTTTCTGAGATACGGGGTGTCAAAGTTTTTCTTAAAAACTGACGATTTAATTTATTGCTCTGAAATCGGTCGAGATGTGCAAATGAAATTTGGTGGGTTTTAAGAGGTAGTTATTGCGCATTTTTTGACACGCAATTAAGAATTTTATGTTCATCATTGGCGCGTACGAGTAATAATTTAATTTAAAAAAAAAATGGTACGCCACTGAGATATTACAAATTAAAAATCATTTTTGAATTCCTCATTCAATTTGTGACAAAAAATCTCTCTTGCCTTTTCTTCGTATGGGGCGCCGTTTTGATGCAAAAAAATAAAACATCTTAACGCGTATTTTTTATTTCTTTAATACATTATCAAGAACTATCTAATACAATAACATTAAACCAGAACAATAACAGAAAATAACACTAATAAAATTTTGAAAAGGCGCAAAGCTACAACAAATGTTCAAAATGACCTCCCTCAGACGTGACACAAGATTCAACTCTTCGCCTCATTGATTGTCGTATTCGCGCAAATATTCCTGGTATATTTCTTATTGTCTCACAGCCGACTATAATTCGATTCCTCAGGTCATCAACATTTTCAACGGGAGTGGAATAAACTAATGACTTAAGAAAACCCCAAATGCAAAAATCAAGAGGATTTAAATCCGGCGATCGAGCAGGCCAATGTTCCGTACCTCCCCTACCTATCCAACGATTTGGATATACTGTGTCTAAGTGATTACGTACATTAATGCTAAAATGGGCTGGTGCACCATCATGCATGTACCATAGGTGTTGTCTCAGCTGTAGAGGAATTTCTTCAAGAAGAACAGGTAACTCTTCCTGTAGGAAATTAAGATAAGATTCGCCTGTTAGTCGTTGTGGGAGGAAATATGGACCGATTAAATGATCATCAATTACCCCAAGCCATACATTTACGGAAAACTGATGCTGAAAATGAGCTTCAAAGATTCCATGGGGGTTTTCCTCAGCCCATAAGTGATTGTTATGGAAATTTCGTATACACTGTCGTCCAAAAGTAGCCTCGTCAGTAAACAAAACGGCATTTAAAAAATTAGGAATTTGAGCGATTTGATGATTAATCCATTGGCAAAAAAATAGGCGCGGAAAAAAGTCTCTAGGTAGTAGAGCTTGCACACGTTCAATATGAAACGGATACAATTGCTGTTCTTTAAGAATTTTAAATACAGTGAAGTTGCTTACATTCAATATGTTGGCAATTTTTCGAGTACTTGTTTCAGGTGACTCCGCAATTAACTCGAGAACTGCTTCTTCTAGTTGCACAGTTCGTACTTCTCGAAGGCGGCCACAGTCAACCGTATGTTTCTTAAATGAACCATTTTCGCGCAATTGATGAAGACGAGCAAATATTGTGTGATGAGGTACCCTACGTCCTGGATACAACTCAGCATACAATCGTCGAGCTTGCCGACCATTTCCATTACTTCGACTATAGACAAGATGCATGTCTGACAATTCCGCATTTGTAAAATTTTCCATTCTTTTCGTTAAAAGACAAATGAATTACTTATTAACACTAATGTTATAGCAAACTAAAAACTTAAGAAATTAATAATGACGAAACGCTAATTTGACATTTCTTAAAAATATTCGTATTTAACAGACAAATGTTGACAGTACTAGGTAATGTATTAAAGAAATAAAAAATACGCGTTAAGATGTTTTATTTTTTTTTTCATCAAAACAGCGCCCCATATGAAGAAAAGGCAAGAGAGATTTTTTGTCACAAATTGAACGAGGAATTCAAAAATGATTTTTAATTTGTAATATCTCAGTGGCGTACCATTTTTTTCTTTAAAAAAATTGAGATTATTAACCGTACGCGCGCCAATGATGAGCATAAAATTCTTAATTGTGTGTCAAAAAATGCGCAATAACTACCTCTTAAAACCCAGCAAATTTCATTTGCACATCTCGACCGGTTTCAGAGCAATAAATTAAATCGTCAGTTTTTAAGAAAAACTTTGACACCCCGTATCTCGGAAAACGAATCATTTGCGGACATACGTTTATAAGCAAATTGCCATTATTTTCTCATGTAGAATCACCCCCCTGAAATTTGTCGCACTTATTTACTAACACCCTGTATATGGGGTGCACCATGCCATTGAAGATACCATACTCTTCAATTCAAAGATGGTAATATGAAAATAACTGTAGTCGCTCAAAAAAGTTCAACCTTTAAATTTTTTTCTATGTTATATAGATATTGAGAGTTCATGAACCATTGACAAAAACCATGTCCGATTTTTTTAATACATTTCCTCGAATTAACTAAGAAATTATGATAACATGTTTTTTTTTAATCAACCATATTGTATAATTAATAGACATCAGAAGCTTTGTGGTGACAATCAAATAAATAAACAGTAGTAATCCATATTATGCTAATTAGGGGCAATACACGTAGTAGCAGAAATAGGTTAAATCTATGGTCAAGCCATGTGCCGCTCTATACACATGATTCACAATGTGATTTAGAGATTTAGAGAAATAAAACAAATGTAAAAATATTTTATAAACAAAATATATCTTTTTTATTGGACAAAACTATCTTATTTCCATTGATACATAAAATAGCTAAACATAATTTATATATAGGTACTAAAACTAACAAATGATAATTTTTTTTTGTATCAAAAAGATCCCTGATCCCTGACTTATAAAAAAAAATCCAGGTCATTTGTAGTTCATTTTTACATACTAATTGATGTTTATGCATAAAAATTTTTCTCGATTGGACTCGATAATCTTTTTTATACCCTAACAACAAAGATTTCAAAACCACAAATAGTTTTCTCTTTCAAGAACCCAGGGCCAGCTTTCACAAAATTTGCAGTTGCAAACATCAAATTCCCTGACTCGTGAATATTTTTAAAATTCCCTGACTATTCCCTGTTTTTTATGAAGAACAACAAATTCCCTGACTTTTCCCGGCCGCTACGAACCCTGTTAAATATGTTATTCAGAACTGCTTTAACTATTGAAATAAAAATTTACGTACGTGTCTTAAACCTAGATTTTATATGAAGGAACTACCTTAAACAGTAAACATCACCTGTAACTTTACACGGAGTGTAATATGAATAGACACAAATGGCGACTATCGATATTAGTATAGTCGGCAGCTTTGTCTATTGTTTACAATTAGATAGGAATAAAAGTATTGGCTACGGTTGAATGTTATATCATATTATCTGAACGCACTATTTCATATTATCTGAATTTAACACAAATTAAAACAAATTAAAATGAAAATTGATTATCCGGTTCTGTGTAAAAAGAATAAATAGCAATCAATGATGGAAGTAATATACTTAAATTGTCAGGGTTATATAAATAACAGAGATGAGATTATTATGCTGGTAAATAAAGTCAGACCTGTAATGATGTGTTTAACAGAAACACATGTTGATGATCAAATATATGATAGTGAGCTGTGTATAAATGGATATAGAGTAGAAAAATGTTTAACAACAAACAGAAGAACAGGGGGAATATTATTATATATTAAAGAAGAAATTAAATATGAATTAATAGTAAATGAATATAAGCAAAAATATTTCTGGATGTTAGGAGTTAATATAAATATCGGCAATAATTTGTATAACATAATAGCAATATACCATCCACCGCAAGTTAATGATAATTTGTTTTTAGAAGATTTTGAGAATTTCTTAGCAAATACGGGATTTATGGGTACAATAATTATTGGTGGTGATTTTAATCTAGATTACTGCAGTAATGCATTTTATAGTAATAAAATTAAAGATATAATATATCAAAACGGCTTATACCAAATAGTAAAGAACTATATGCGAATAACAAACAGTAGTGCAATATTAATAGATTATATTATTACGAATGATAGAGATATGTACCATGAAAATTGATTAACACCTAAGATCTCAGATCATAATATTTTAAAAGTTAGTATTGCAGGATATGTTGATTATAGGACAAAGGGTACAACAAAAAAGATTAGATCCAAAAAATGCTACAATAAAGAGAAATTTCAAGAAAGAATTGGAAACGTAGTATGGAATAGAGATGTAACTGATGTAGATATGATGGCTGAGTGTTTAACCGAGGACATTAAAAGCGTTTTAAATAGTGTTTCCCCGATAAAGGAAATACAAGTATGTATAAAGGATGGTACTTTAAAAACTTTGGAAAATTGGATAGATAGTGACGTAATTGAAAGTATAAAATTGAGAAATATTATGTATAAAAGAGCAGTTTTTACTAAGAACGTAAGGGACTGGAATGAGTATAAAAGTAAACGTAACTTTGTTAGTAGACTAATTAAACAAAAAAAAAGAGGAATATTTTAAAGAAACTATAAAAAATAAGAAAGGTGCTGATTTATGGAAGGAGTTAAAGAAGTTACTACCTGGTAAAAACATAATTTGTGAAAGCATTAGATTTGAAGGGATACTTGAAACAGAGGATGAAATAATAGCGGACAAATTTAATAAATATATTATAAATAGTATTGACTCAATAGTGGAATCAATAAGTGCCCCACAAAATATATATCTACCAGAAATCCGGGATGATTTGAGTTTATTTGATAAATTCAACAATGTGTCGATGTGTAAATTAAAAAGTACGATTATTAATTTAAAGAATACTACAGATTTGGAATTTTTAATTTCGAAGGATAATATAAAAGACGCGTTTGAAGTAATTGGTGATCGTTTCCTTGAAGTGGTGAATTCATCCTTGTACTATGGAACTTTTCCTCAGAGTTGGAAGACTTCTGATGTAATACCGGTGCCAAAAGTTGTTAATTCGCAGGATTGTAAAGACTATAGACCAATAAATACAGTAACAATATTTGAAAAAATATTGGAAGTGGAAGTCAAAGATCAACTTGTGAATTATTGTGAGCAAAATGAAGTGTTTGTGCAAAACCAATCGGGGTTTAGAAAGTACTATTCCTGTGAATCGGCAATAATAAATGTTTGTGATGAATGGTTAAATGCTTTGGAAAGTAATAGGATAGTTCTTGTTGTATTCCTGGACTTAAGAAGAGCATTTGAGACTATAAACAGACAGTTACTAGTTGATAAGTTAGAAGCAATAGGATTAAGAAATAATGTGTTGAAATGGTTTGACAGTTATTTAAGTAATAGGTATCAAAGAGTTAAATTTAAATCAGCAATATCAGGTGCAATACTAGTAAAACATGGGGTTCCACAGGGCACCATTCTGGGGCCTGTATTGTTTTCAATATATATGAATGATATAGTTAAAGTAGTAAATAAGTGTCATATTTCATTGTTTGCTGATGATACAGTCTTATATATTGAAGGATTTGACTATTTTTCAATGAGTCATCAAATGAATCAAGAACTGAAAATGATTAATGACTGGCTGTGTAGTAATAGTATGCTGTTAAATTTGGAAAAAACAAAATATATGATTATGGGTAGGGGCAGTATAATAAATAAAATTAATGAGGTAGATTATAGAATTACTATAAATGATCATGATATTGAAAAAGTTTGGGAAATGAAGTATTTAGGGGTTATTTTGGATGATAAATTGAGTTTTCAAAAACATTGCAATTACATTTTGAATAAGATCTCAAAGAAAGTATACATATTAAATAGAATAAGTAATAGTATTACTATGAATACTAGGATCCTGTTGTACAAAGCATTGATTGGTCCCCATGTGGAGTATTGTTCAGCAATTTTATTCGGATTATGTCAAAATGAGAGGTAAAATACAAAAATTACAGAATAAAGCTATGCGTACTATATTGAAATGTAATCGTTATACACTGATAAAATTAATGCTGGAGGTGTTAAACTTAATGAATGTTAAACAAAGATTAATTTTCAAGACCTTAAATATGGTGTTTAAAATAAAAAATCAGGCAACTGCTAAATATTTGTGTAATAAGGTACAATATGTGAGTGAAATTCATTCGTACAACACAAGGAAACATGGAGATTTTTTTATTAGAACTGCAAGAACTGGGTTGTTGAATAGAACAATTTTATATAGGGGGTTGAACATGTTTAATGCATTACCAGATATAATAAAGAATTGTGATAATCATATTAAATTTAAAAGTATGTTAAAGAAATATGTGTTTGAAGTATTTTAGTAACAAAATTTTGTATTCCGTTCTGTTTTGAATGTGTGTATCTTTGTGTCGTGTTGGAACTGACACGGAGCTAGAGGATGTATACACTTGTGAAAATTGTTGATTTTTTTTTAGTATTGGCTAATAAATATTATTATTATTATTATTATTATTATTATTATTATTATTATTAATTTCATTGTTAACACTGTTCATGCTAACATTCTATCAGAATTTATACATTGTGTTCAAAAATTAAATGGGATACTTCAAAAAATGGGCCAAAAAATACTTTGTTTCTGAGTTGCATGACTTAAAATTAGTTACGAACATCTGAATATTTGGGGGTAGTCTAGTCTAATTACTTCATGTTTTTGCTAAATTTGTAATTAAATTAAATACTTTTTACGATTTAAATCATCCCTGCATCACTTCACATTAAAAAATTAAACACAGTAGTTCTCATGACTCGATGTTATTTTCCCAATTTAGTTTTTTTTGTTTTGCAAAATATATTACCTTTAGGCCGCTTGTAAATGACACGATTTTTCGTCAGGCCAGTGAATTCATCGGGTCGTGGAAAAAACGTGTATCCTTGTACACGAAGACAATATATTCTCAGATTTTTAAATGTTCTCTCTACACCTATGCAGTTTAATACCGGTTGCAAATCCGGTGCAGTCAACATGCTCTCATAAGCTACTACAGCTCACTGACCATTTACCTACCGTGCGTAAACCAGGCACGGCGAGGGAAACGGATTCGTACACGGCCATCAGCTTGTCTCCGTACGGTCACTCGGTGTGTTAACATACTTCCATAACAATCAATATCCCCCGATCGACCATATGAATCTACGGTGGATTCACTGTGTTTAGAAATGGCTAAAAAACCTTCGTTTACAAGCGGCCTTACTGTAATGGTAAGCAGTAAGCAATTTTTAGAATGCAGTAAGTACAGGAACATCTACCTCATTTTCCATTAACAGTAAACATGTTAATTTAATGGGGCAACAAAATGTGTATAAAAGAAATTAAATTCATGGTTTGTGTCACTAACTCATGTACTGTCATATGAGAGTAAAAAATATCTTTTCTAGTGGCTACAAAATTCTGACTTTTTGAAGTGGTTGTACTCTACCATTAAAGTATGTATAGTTCACAATGAAACGCCCTTTATGTTAAAAATTTAAAATGAAAGCAAGAATCTGTTGCAAATAACACTTAAAATTATTGTACAGTGCAATGAAGATCCTTTTTTAGATTGCAAATATGAGAATTCCAAAAGACGACAGAGATAACACGAAATTAAAAGGTTTTGGATATGTAGAATTTGAAGATAGAGATAGTCTGTTAAATGCTCTTGCCGTTCCTGATACAGTAAGTTAATTTGAACGTTATAATTTTCTATATTAACAGCATGTTTTTTAAGACTATAAAAAATAGAAGGATCAGAATAGAAGTATCTGCAAATACAGATGACCGCAGAAGGGGGCGAATGGACATGGGTAGAGATAGGATGGATAGGGGTGAATTTACAGGTGATTGGCGTTCAGGGCCTCGCGTCGAAGCCTCAAATGATGACCGCAGAGGAGGTTTTAACAGTGGTTTTAACCGAGACAATATGAGAGGAGAAAGAGAAGAAAGGAGTTTCAGTAGAGATAATATGAGAGGGGAAAGAGAAGAGAGAAGTTTTAGCAGAGATATTATGAGAGGGGACAGAGAAGAAAGGAGTTTTACCAGGGATAATATGAGAGGAAGTGACAGAGATGATAGAGGGTACAGAGATAATACTAGAGACAGAGATGGAGGATTTGGTAGAGATAGAGACAATAGGGATGGATTTAGACGAGACAGAGACGGTTCAGATGATAAACAGGGGGGTTGGAGAGAGGGAGAAAGATTTAATAAAGATCAAGATAGAGGTAAGTTTATTCTGCAAAGTTCATTTTATTATTACCATTGGTAAAGCTGGAAGGCATATTTATCACATAATTATCGAAATGCATTGGCCAAGCACTGCACCATTCCACCTAGCTTCAAGTACGTGTTTAAATTAGCGAAATATTGAGCAATATCATATTCTACTTGCATGTCAACAATTAGAGATAAAATAATTTAATATAGCATAAGTGTCATCTTCAATGTCGATTGTATTAAATTACTTTACTTTTCGATTGTTTTCCCGCACTTGGACCATGATTCCTATTTTTTGGCTTCTTAAGATTTACAAGATGATTCAAAATTCAATACAAAGAATTTAAGGGCGTATTTCTGAGGTGGAATTATTTTTCCTATAACGTGGCTCCACAAATGCTTAGTTTTCGATATACAGGATGTTAAAGTTTTTTATTTTGTTTGATTTTTTAGGAATAATTTCCAAACAGATTTGAATGTTGGCATAAAACTAGGTGTACGGGGGTTTTTTAGGATGCTAAATTTAAATATGTCATTGCTTTTCACGCTGCTTGTGGAGGCGCTACTTGTAAGGGTACGCTTGAATTAAACTGGCGTAACTTTTTTGCTACCCTATACATTGTATTAGTACATTTATTCCCCCTATCAATTTTAAGCAAAAAAGGTCGAAATCTTTCAGGTCAACCGTTTGCGAAATATTGTCTGATGAAGAGTTAAATGCA